TGAGAATGGTAGTGTACGTAATTTTTTTACTCGTATATACTTCAACATTTTTCTTAGTTTATGTTTTATAAAGCTAGTGAATAATAATAATATAAGTATAATGACATATGTATAGGAAAGGGGTTATGAGTGAAATTGTATTAGATCTACTTTTTTGAAGAACGTGGTGCTGTTGTATTTTTGAGTAGTTTTTTTTTGGCTTCAGCCTTTTCCTTCAATTCTTGAAGAAAATTACCACTCTTAATGTCTTCTCCAAAACGACGTTCAAAGCGAACACGAGATTTTTTTTGGTGGTGGTGGAGTAGTAACTGGTTGATCTCGTATATAAGTTGAAATAATTGATCGAACAGCTGATGATGGACTTGTTTTACCTGTTGTTACTGTTGATGTACTAGTAGGAAGTGAAAAATTTTGACTAGACGGTGATTCGACATCATCATCCGAATCTAAAATGCACGCATGAGAAAGATGATTAGAACATATTAATATAGTTTTAACCTTCATCAGATAAATCATAAACAGCTAATTTATCATTATTTGGTTGTTCAATATCGATGGATTCATCTGAATCACTAGAAGAGACCATGAGTCGTAGAGGTGAGAAACTAATCGATGTTAAATCATTCCATACCTGTCATCAAAAGTACGTTTAGCTCGAGATAATGCCGATGATGATGACGATGCAGAACTGCAAATGAAAATGAAAATTTTTATAACAGCTATGAAATATATTATAGTGAAATAGTCGTTTTGAGAGCGTAGACTGGTATTCTGAATAGCCATTAGAAGAAAAAATGAGAAAATTCAGTAAGAAAGAAAGTTTATTAGATATATGATAGGGAAATATTTCCAACGTGACTTTCCATAAGTGTACAACTTTGAAAGATTGACAGACACAGCTATATCTGATTAAAATGTAGTCGTAAATAGAATATGATAAATCGAATAAATTAGATCCAGTATAAAAGACAATTTAAAGTCAAGAATGTTCTTTAAAATATTATGCATAACTAGTGTACGGTTAGATAGAACGATATCATGTTGCTATTAAACTGGCGATATGCATTCTTAGCTCTCAAAAAAATCGAAATGACATATTCATACTCACTAATTATCGATTGAAGCTGGAACAGACCCATTATCATCATCACCTTCAACTACATCAGATGTTTGTATATCATTCATTAATGATGATAATATCTGTGTTGTCGATAAACTAAAATCACATGAATGTTGAGAAACAAAGAACACTATCACATCTTACCTATTCGTGATGGAATTACTATATGATGATGAACGTGAACGAACAACCTTGTCCTTCATCACTTGATCATCGAAAGGAAAAATGCCTGCTCGTCTAAAACCTCCAGAAACCGCACTAATCGAGAATGACTTTGAAAGAAGTTCTTTCAACAATTTAGGAAAGTCAATCTTTCGAATAGTTTTACGATGAGTTTTTTGAAAGTATGATGAGACAATGCTTCGTCATTTGATTTTTGCAGGACTAAAAATATATATATTTAATTTCACTCCAAGAAAATTGTATAACTAGAATCAGCGATTCCACGATTTATATTTTTCCCAAAGTTTATTATGCATTTTTTTAATATCTATACATTTTTATAGTTAATTATATTACTTTAACCTTTCTCGATCTTCTATGATTTTTAAATACAATTGTTTATCATGCATTTTTGAAGAACTAATCTTTTTTTCTGATCTTGAAGGACTGTCTCTTTCCTAATGCATATATGTGAAGTTATCACCTCGCTATTATTTTATTCGCAGTCACTAACTTACTGGAAAGGAACACGACATATAAGGTATATCAAAACTAGGCCTAGTATTTGGAAAACATATTATCCGATTACCGAAAGTTTGTTCTCTAGGAACTAATGTGAACCATTTTACAAGTATTCTCCTCCATCTTAATAGAATCGGTCCATAAACTATATTACTTTATAGTGTCAGGAATCTGCTGGTGCACTTCAACCGGTGTACCTGACAGTGCATAATACAGGAGAAAAAACGCTAACCAGTTTTCGGACTACTCATTTATGTAGAATTCCTACTCTGATGAACTGTTGAATGTACTTGTTTTTTTTCAAAGTATTCTGTTGTTAAGCTCTCTGAAGGAACAAATTTAGGTAAAGAGTTGTTAAAACTTTCCACATGCAACAAATTCATTCGTGCTTCCTAAAATTATTAAGTCTCGTCTTTAAGGAATTCTAAATACTTCAATCATATATGATTTTATCTGAAATGCAAATTAATTCAGTATTACATAACAGTAAAATATGGAATAGAATTATAGAAAGCTAGTTCTACATATCGGATAAATCGGAACAACAATGAAAATTGCATTCGTATGGCAGAAGTGATCACGACCAATAGAAACAGGAGAACTAGACATAGTAGAAAATACGCATGAATCTATCTCATCTAGGAAAATATTTCCAACTGTTTCTCGTAAAATAGTTTATTCAATAAATTTAACAACAAGACGCTTTGAATAAGATAAGAAATAGTCATAATAGTCCATAAGAACAAGAACTATAGACATACTGTTTATAAAACATAAACTAAGAAAAATGTTGAAGTATATACGAGTAAAAAAATTACGTACACTTCCATTCTCACAGATCGTGACAAACATTAGTAACTGGCATTACAATAGATGTTTCATGTTTCACATTTTAATTCTCCATAAATTGCATTAAGAGATTTTATGTTAGCTGTGTAATGATGCAGTGACGAAATTAGGGACACTTTTTTTTTGTCAATTTTAGACATCTTCCTCGCAAGTTATTGAACTCATTATAGACAAATTCGTTTGTCATGAACCTTTAGATTATGGTAGATCTTGACACGCTCTACAAAATTGCTCCGGTAACCTTTACTCGTTTTCCGATGAAAAAGCCTAAAAAACTTGTTTTCTTTGAAAGATAGGATTTTGCTTGAATTTTGTAGGCGTGTCGAAATTAGGGACCAAAAATGGCTTGCTGTCGAAATTAGGGACAGGGCTCCTAATAACGAGAGATTGAGTCCATGATCGTATACCGCTGATTTCTCTATCAAAACTTTGGAGGAGAAAACTCATTTATACACCATTCGAAAGAAGAGAATCAAGGGATCATGGATATATAAAAATATTTCTATTCATATGTAAAATAGTTGTGAACGAACTCAAACAAGATGAAGCAATTTTTTGCTGTCGTAATTAGGGACATTTGCTCTATTTGCATCGAGAGATTGCGATTGCAATTCTCCACAGATCCATATATAATTTCGGTTGAAACCTGTTTTACATTTACCATAGAGACGATGAAAAGTAGAAAAACTCAAACAGGTGTTCAAAATAAATATGCATGCAAAGATGGAACGGCGAAAAGCTAAAATGGAGCATGCTTTGAAGAAGTCGATTTTACTAGCCATTTCCTTCTATAAATGAAATTATAATGAGTAGAATAACTTCATCTGAATCTTGAAACATTTTCGTCATTCCATCGTCATATATCTACTTACTTTTGATATCTATTTACTTTTCATCATTTCCGTGCTATATTTAAAGCGAGTTTCAAACGAAATCATATATGGATTTGTAGATGATTGCACGCTGAATCTTTTTTTAAAAATGTGCATGTTGAGTAAGGGCACTAAAGAGAAGAAGATTGTAAAATACTAACAGTAGAAATCTTTATGGTCAACTATAATTTCTGGAAAATAATTCACGATTTGTTTTTTGTAAATTTGACTTTACTTGTATCTCGAAGACAACGTCAACCTCTTCTACTATTGAAAAATATCACAAAAGAATATTGGTGTTTGAGGGAATCAAAATTTATTTTACACTTATTATGTGTAGTGCAACCCATAATGTTGTCTTCATAACAAACAATAATATCTAGCTGGATAATAGAAAGAAGAATTGATCGACGGACAGCGACGGTTCGACTGGAACAGAGAACGAATTGGTTCTGATAGAATGAAAAGTTCTCGTAGAACCATATAATCGTTTGATAGTCACTAAGAAAGCACAGTTGAAGGAGACGACTGCGAAATGCATCCATAAAATAGAGAAGAATAATGTCTTGATTCATGGATATGTTTTTTTTATGGGAATGACTTGTTTGTGTTTTCTCTCGTAGAATGTCACAGGATGACAGTTTCTGTTTCGAGTTCAGAAATAAGGAACGATTGAGCCACGTCGGAGTGATTTCATCCTGAAAGTTGACATGGGCCCAGTTGAAAAACAAATAGTATTCTGTTAGTGGCTCTGTTTCAAAAATCTTCATGTAAGTGTGTGTGACTTGTGTAGTGGTGGCAAAACGATTCTAGCATCTTATTGACAAATTTTCGAATGAAGGGAATTTTCAATCCTATCTCTTACAAAATGACATATCTGTGATTTAGAAACATACCTAATTGCAGTGCTACTTTAGAAAACAAACTACAATGAATTATTTCGATGAAATTAGTTCGTCAACATAGTATGTACATAAACATAAAAATTGAGTGCCAACTATAATGCGTGCATCGTCTTCGTTGAGAGCTATTGTTATCAATGTGACAAAAACAGATCTTCCAGAATGCTAAACACATTGAACTATCTGAAATTCATTCACTAGTAAAGTTTCACGTTCATAAATTCCAAGTTTATTTATATCATATAATTTGAGGAAATTATAAGATTTTAGAAAACTACTCAGAATATGTAGCTGAATAATTATAACTTCTCACATCTAACCTAATCGATTGGTCCTATATTTTTCGGTTGATTAAAATAATCAATATAAGTTTTAAAGTATTGGATCAGAATTAGAATCTTTAAGATCTTTTCAAAATTAAGTTTGGTATTAATAAGTGAATTTTTGAATGGTCTTAAATAAAACATTCGAACGAGTTTTAATGCGCATGAATGACATAAAACGTAGAAGAAAAATATTTGAGACATATGTATATTATAATTTCTTGATTTTAAGAGTTGAAAAAATGATTTCAGTTATGTCGGAAGAATTACTGCAAGATTTTCGGTTCTTGGCTCATTTTTCAAAGAACTCGTTCGTCCTTTTTTCCTACAAAAAACTCAGTAATAGAAAGTATTCAGTCAGAGATACTATTGTTGTGAAGAACGTTTATTGTTTGAATGGTAATTGAAAAGAATTTTAAAACATGATAGCATCAATTAAAAAGAATTGTATCTATATTAAATTTGATGTCTCGAAGAAGAAAATAAGTATCGTGAAAAACATCATAAAATCAATTTCAAATAGGATATCGTCATATTTTCCGTCTCTAAATCTGTTCGTACAGCTGTATCCGTATTTCAACCTCATGTTCCTTCTATCGTGTAAGAGTTGAATATAATTGTATTCGATGCATATAAACTATTTTTTGTAATGAATCTTCAGCTATATATAGATTGGCTAATAATAGCTAGGATATGATGACATCGAAGCGCATTTAGGAAAAAACCTGAGAGAGAGAATGAGTCATAATACAGAATGGGAAAATATATACGAAAGAAAAGAAAAAATACACATGATGTAGAAAGATGAAGATCACAAAATATAGAAAAACGCAGAAAAGTTATAGATGACAACAGCTGATTATAACACTTCTTAACATTCTTCTCTGTCAAAAAAAATTGATTTTGAGATTTTTATATGGTTGAATAGCCTTCGATGTAGCTTTTCAAAAATGTTAAGATTTATCGGAATTTGACGCTTTTTCACGAATTTACTGATTGATGCTGGAATCAGGAAAATTGTTCTTTTGAAAATGTTATATATTGTTGCCTTTTTAAAATTTTTCGGCGATTTACCATACTGATGAGTCTAGCAAAAATGTGTATATTGTGGCAGTGTGATATCAGTAGAAGAGATGTCGTCGGACATAAGCTTGTGTTCTCTTCTGTTTCTCCGACGTCATTATTTTACGTTCTATATACTTACGTCTTCGTTTGATTCGTCATTGTTGACAACATGGCTCTGTATGGAATGGGATAGTCCCATTCTAGACCATCAGTTCTATAGGATGGGATGGGGCAGAAATTTTCTACAATCATCCCATTCCCATGAGACACATCGATTTTATATAAAGTAAAACTGTTACTGAGAATAATACAAACATTTTGATATTAATATCATATCCGTCTATTCAAACGAAGCAAACAAGCAATAAAAGCTCGGTAAGATAAAATGATATAATATTTGATAGGATTAGTCGATCAATAATCGTTTGAATAAATTTCACCTCTTTTAAAAGGTATTTGACGATTGATGTGTTTTCTCTAACGTTTTATTAAACATAAAAAAACTGACATCAAAAATTAACAAAGAAGAATTTAAAAAATCGAGTTACATTCAGTTGTAACGACCAGTGTCGGCTATATTTTGGCGTCAACCCTGAGACCTGTATTACTAAATTTAGAAGAGCAATCTGAAGTACAAGGAGATCTTCTTTTTGACTCTTAAGATAAGGATAACTCTTAAAGAACTGAATATTTTGGTCCGAAACTCTCACCATAAACTTTCAGACCTTGACGTAGATCTTCTGAAAGTTTCAACAAGAGCGGTTGTTCTGGAATGAAAACAGATTTTTCACAGGGAAATGAGCTTAATCTATCAGAAGAAAGTGATAAACATTTTGTCTAAAAATGTTCGACGTGCCAATTAGAATGATTTTCATTGGGGTACAAAATAGTTCCTCTTAAACATATTTATTATTGATTAATAGCTTGTCTATCATTATTTGATATAAAAAATTTTGAAGTTTTTCTTTTTGTTATTTTAACTATTCGAATAAATAATCCTTTTTGTGACGAACTGCGAGAGTGTGCGCCTATGCCCGTTGGCATGATGGTGTATAGTGTCATCTGCACATCTCTAGTGGTGTCTTTCTTTCGTTTATAATTTCTTATATAGAGGAGAGCGATCACGCATGAACGAACAGAAATAAAGAGAAAAGGTAACACAATAGAACAATGAGAGTCAGTCACAGGGTCAACGAATAGCATATGAATATAGCGAAGCGGATATCACACATTATGTGAAGCGTAACAGTCAATAATCGTTATACATTTGACATCAAGTAGTCATTAGAGTAAAATATGTTTCATAACGATATTATCTTATCCCAATAAGAAGAATGAAAAATGCATCAATCATGATTGAAATATATCATAGATAGAAGTTTTTTGTGTATTTTGTCTACATTTATGCTCAATGTTTTCTTTGTTCTTCTAGAGTTAATCTTTGAGCAACTGAATACTAAATTCAACATGACAACGGTTTGTTTAATTGAATAAAATTAAAAAGAAAAAAAAGAAATATTTATTTTATTCAGGAATTGAAGGATCTTGAAAATCCAGCATTTATATCGGATCCACCATCAACTTTAATAAATATTAGAGATGAAATAATGCTAACAACGAAATTACAAGAAACACGTGACAAAGATGACGACGATGATGATGATGATGATGATAAAAATAATTCAGGTTTTGAAAAATTATCTGATGAAGGTCATGGTATTGGTTTATTTCTATTACAAATTCGTAAAAAATTAATTCAAATAATCAAAAAACAAAAAGTAAGAAAACTTTTCTTTTGTATTAATGATTTTGTTTTAAATTTTTAATAGACTTTAACTATTAATGGATTGAAATTTATGTTTATAATTGGTTTTTTAATCTATTTCGGATTTGCCATGAGTGAAGACTATGGTACACCTGCTTTTCCTATCCGTGGAAATATTTTTCATAACAATTCTGGTATAATTGTATATAAAGAATTCAATTTTATTAATCAAATTCATTTAGGTTTTGCTTTATTCTTTTTTGTGATTTTTGCAATATTTGTTTTTACATGGGAAAAGTTTCTTAGACGTTCTATTGAACGTTTATATCAATATATTTCAACATCAGCCGAAGGAAATAAAACATGGAATACAACTAATAATTTTATGCATAGATTTTCTTGGTAAGCATTTTTGCTACTCATGTGATTCGAAACGGATAAAAATCGTTGATAGACCAGTCGGTATGATTTACGATATACCGGCGATAGTTTGATACTTAAGGCCCCCCCCCCCCCTCAAAAATCGATCTCAACCTGGGGAGGTTCAACAGAGCTGAAATGTGGAGCATATGTTGGGGCGGCTGTGGGGAGGGTGGGGTGGAATTTGCAGCTCGATACCCCA